ACACTTTTTAGAATTTTAATGCACAAAAACACAATATATTGCCAAATTGTTTGATAAAATACAAACGATGATGTTATGCGGAGTAAATAGATACCAAACATGACATGCTTTAAAATTGCACATGCTCGTGCAATGGCAACAAAGTACATACCTTTTTATTATTCATAGATGACACTTTAAGCCTTTACAGGTCACCAATTTATATCTACACAGAAGATCTAGTGCTAGAATTACTGCCCTCGATCTGACATTCGCAGCGATACCTCACATGCATGGTACAACCACTGTTTACATACCGGCACGGGGTCAACGCTTGCGCGCGCAGGGAGGGTGCTTTTTTTTAAAATATATTTACACTGTCCCTTTTATTTATTTATACCGCTTTTAATGCTATCCTAGGGAATGCAAATATCCCCTATAACTTCAATAGGCATTGTCATATATTCTTTTTTTGAGAAATCTGGAGTCTATTAGACTCTATATATCTCCTCTGCCCTTACATTATCTAATCTTATCAAAATCGTTGTGATCAGATGCTTTCCCAATTTACAAATGGCACTGTTTATATCCTGCAAAACTGAAATGATGAAATGCTCATAGCTTACAGTCACTTAGACTATAGAGATGATTGGAGCCATTCTGGTCTCTGATCAGCTCTATGGTTAGCCAGCGGAACTGCCGGCTGCATTCTCGGATTCCCGTGGGTCAGGAAAGCCCAAGAAAACTGTGGAAGGCAGCAGGAGGGGGATGTCCCTTCCCGCTGCTTGTAAAAACAATTCAGCAGCTAATTGGCCACTAGGATTGCTGTTACATGAAAGCCGACTACCAGCTGAAAAAAAACAGTACCAGAATGATGCCTGTAGCTGCAGGCATCATCCCAGTATAACCAAAATCCAGCAACGTACCAGTACATTGCTGGTCCATGTTGGGCATACAGTATATGTAACAGCATACGATGAATTGGCTCTGTAGATCAACATGACCACAATTCATTGTTTTCTGTAATGCCCATGTTGAGGGTTAGGCCAAAAGAGTTTTAAATTAAGAAACCATGATAGGTTTCCATGCATTGTCTGGAAAGAGCTGAATTTGGGTTGGTGGCCAGGTATTGTTGTGCGTATAAATTGCCTTGGCCCACAGTCAATTGGTACAAATCTTCAGTGAAAAACAGCGGAGGGGCTAAACGCTAGTGCTGGTAGCGAACGGGGCCGATCCTGCTAACGCTGTGTTTTTGGGGACACTATACAAAGGAGGCACTAGTATAGTTCTGTACGTGATCAATATCTTGATCCATACAAACAATAAACTAGTAATGGGGGTGATCAGTGACCTATAGCCTGAGTGCGATAGTGTGCAGGTAATCTAACGCTAGCTGACCCTGGATGTGAGGGGCGCTAACTAACCATGACATTATCTGATGTCGCTAGTTGCAGTAATACAGTGATCAGTGAAAAATCCTGTATACTGACACTGTACTAATGGTACTGGCTGGGTGACGGGGTGATCAAAGGGTTAATAGCGGCGAAGGATTAAATGTGCTAATCTAACGTGTGTGTGTGTGTAAAATGTAGTGCTTTTACTCGCTGCGGTGTTCTCACTCCTCTCCCTGGATGGACGTGGGGGGGCAGTGGGGAGCACAGGTGGGTTCACACCCCAAAATAGGAAGTGATGCAAGATTTTGTTGCTTTACCAAGAGCTGCTGCTAGCCCGCAAAATGCGGGTAAGTGGTTGGCAAGTAGTTAAAAAAAAAGAAACTCTTGGAAAAAAAAAAAATTTTAAATTCTCAATATGGTTTTTTGTTTTAGCATTTTTTTTTTTTTCTTAATACTTTTATCAGAATAGTATAATGTTACTATAGTAACATTGCACTACTCTGGGGTGGGGATCAGGGATTTTTTTTTTTTTACACTTTGCTTTGCAAGAGAAATAAAGATCATTTCTCCTGAAATGCAAAACTTGCTGTCAGAATGAGTTAAATTTTGACAGCTCAGGATAGTGATCTGTGATTGGCTGGAGCTGGTCACATGGTACAGGGTGTTGTGATTGACTGCATGTATCATGTGACAGTTGTGGGCCAATCACAGCTCACTAGATAGAGAAGCAGAGCTGTTATGAACTAGATTGATTCATAACAGCTTTGCTTACATTGTGATCATGTGATCACCGGGTCCCGTTCACCGGGATCTTCATTCTGCTGGACACAGCAGTCGCGAGGGGGGAGTGCCCCCGTGTTAGTACAGCCAGAGCAACATACGGGTACATCACTTTGCCTGCAGCTGCCGCTCTGCCGCAGTACATTGCGGGCGGGCAGGAAGCAGTTAATAATGGACTTTTTTATTTCTCACGTTATTTGCTTAGTCATTTTAATAGAACACATTGGCATTTTTAAATTGTTTGATTTGGCACACAGCACACCATATTGGTTTTTTTTTAGTCTTGGTACATGGTGGATGTTTTTGAGTGCATCTGTTAATATTTTTTATGTTCATTACTAAGTGCAGTGAAAACAAAAAGGTTTTGTTCTTCATAGCTGTAGGTCTGCAGTGTGAGGTCATATAAAGAAGTATGGCCAAAGCTCATTTGGCCATACTTCTCCTGTGGATGACAGGAGTGGACTTCGTTCTGCACCCAAATTCGGCATCATTGAGCTGGCTCAGGCTCTGCAGGGATTCTAGCAATGTCGGGATCCGCCCAGATGCCTAACCAGCAGCTGACTCAGCCTCTCAGCATGCCACTTAGAGCCTAAACCAGCTGCTCCTACCCCCTCCACAGCCCAGTGCTCCAGTGAGAGTTGGAGGGGCAGAGCCTTGCTCACTGAAGACTGAGAATTGAGTAATTAATGGTCTTTGATCGCTCACTTCTTCGTCTAAAGGCAGCAAATGACAGTTGCAGCATCAGACCGATGCTACAGCCATCTTAATGAGTATTGTTTTTGGGCGGGGATTCCTGGACCTCTCTTTTAAAGCACTGCTGCCTGTAACTGTTAGTCACTGTTGTTCTGCTCACTCATCTTCTTGCTGGAGGCTCTGGCATGAGGAAGCAATGCCCTGCCTCTCCCAAAATGGCTGCCTCCACACAGAGAACAGTGCAGAACAAGAGGTTCATACTGGGGAAAAGATCAGCTGTAGGTAGACCACAGGCAATACTGGTGACCAGTCCTTTGCCCTCTGCTTTTTTTTTTTTTTTTTTGCCTCTGAAGAAGTATGGGTAAAGCAATGCAATGCTTCTCATGTGGGTAACAAGAGTGCAGTTAGTTCTGCACTGCTGTGCAAGATTCAGCAACACTATATTGCCAAATTTATTGGGACACCTGCCTTTACACGCACATAAACTTTAATGGCATCCCAGTATTGGTCCAAAGGGTTCAATGTTGAGTTGGCCCACCCATTGCAGCTATAACAGCTTCAATTCTTCTGGGAAGGCTGTTCACAAGGTTTAGGAGTGTGTCTATGGGAATGTTTGACCATTCTTCCAGAAGCGCATTTGTGAGGTCAGGCACTGACATTGGATGAGAAGGCTTGTCTCACAGTTTCCGCTCTAATTCATCCCAAAGTGTTCTATCAATTTGATGTCAGGACTCTGTGCAGACCAGTCAAGTTCCTCCACCCCAGACTTGCTCTTCTATGTCTTTATGGACCTTGCTTTGGGTACTGGTGCTCAGTCATGTTGGAACAAACTCTTCCCACAAAGTTGGGAGAATGAAATTGTCCAAAATGTCTTGGTATGTTGACGCCTTAAGAGTTCCCTTCACTGGAACTAAGGGGCCAAGCCCAACCCCTGAAAAACAACCCCACACCATAATCCCCCCTCCACCAAACTTTACATTTGGCACAGTGCAGTAAGGCACGTACCGTTCTCCTGGCAACTGCCCAACCCAGACACGTCCATTGGATTGCCAGACAGAGAAACGTGATTAGTCACTCCAGAGAAGACATCTCCGCTGCTCCAGAGTCCAGTGGTGGCATTTGCATTGCACTTGGTGATGTAAGGCTTGGATGCAGCTGCTCTGCCATGGAAACCCATTCCATTAAGCTCTCTATGCACTGTTGTCATGCTAATCTGAAGGCCACACAAAGTTTGGCGGTCTTTAGCTATTGCCTCTGTAGACAGTTGACTACTTCTGCGCACTGTGCTCTGACCCCGCTCTGTCATTTTATGTGGCTTACCACTTTGTGGCTAAGCTGCTGCTGTTCCCAGTTGCTTCCACATTTTTATAATATCACTAACAGTTAACCGTGGAATATTTATTAGCAAGGAAATGTCACAGATGCACTTATTGTACACATGGAAACCTATCACGGTACCACGCTTGAATTCACTGAGCTCCTTTGAGCGACCCATTCTTTCACAAATGTTTTGTAGAAGCAGTCTGCATGCCTAGGTGCTTTCTCTTATACACCTGAATCCAATGATTTAGAGGGGTGTCCCAATACTTTTGGCAATAGAGTTTTTAACATTGGGCTAAAACCCTCTGTCAGCTGATGTCACAGAGTTGCTCAACGCTCTGCAGGGATCCTGAAAATAATGTTGGGATACACCCAGATGCTTGACCGGCAACTGACTCAGCCTCTCAGACCACCACTGAGAGCCTGAGCCAGCCGCTCCCACTCACTACACAGCCCGGTGCTCCAGTGAGCGCTGGAGGGGCAGAGCAGCGAGTTGGTGACCTGACAGTCACTGCTCAATGAAGACCGGGAAATAAGCAATCGGCAGTCATGTGAACACTCTGTTCTTGGTCTTAGAGCTGGCGGGGGACAGCTGCAGCATTGTATTGATACTGCAACCACATGGAAATGTTTTGTGCGTGGGATTTACAAACACTGTTCGATTGTATTGTCTAACCACATGGGTGAGTATGTATGTTTTTTTTTTTTTTTTTTTGTAAATCCCACACTTCTGTCAATATTTTTAGCTCTTGTATTTTGTGTGTCATACTTGAATTACTTATCAGTGTGTGATCTTTACTGTCTTCTCTTTCTTTTTACTAATTTGTTTTGCAGTTGGATTTCTCCGCAGTGGCACTAGGCTTCCCTTCAGTCGGCATCGTCAGAATGCAGGTCTGAGCCAGTCACATGATGATTTGTCTGATGCTGCTGCTGCTAACTCTCATAAGAAGATTGGCAGTCTTCCACGGCGTCTGTTAAAGCACTTTTCTCTAAAGACAAAGTCTAAGCCCAGTGTTAATGGGAGTGCTCAGGGTGGAGATAAGTGATGGAATAGATGCTGCGTTTTAGAACACTTCTACCTCTGTTTCAGTACTGCATGTCCCTGCATAGCTGCCACGTTGTGAATATATTTTCCCTTTCAGCCCTTATGTATGTATGGCCATTTTAAATGCATATGGCTTATGATAAACTCCAGTTTTGTTGAGAAAGGCAATCCACATCTACTGAACAATATACTGTACATGGCAAAGATTTTGGGACATTTACCAAAAATTGTACCTTTCTCTGTACATTGAAAAAAGTTTGCCTTACCATATCCTTCTGGGACTGAGAATGGAGCATTTGCTTCCATTACCATTTGAGAAAAATAAGTGCAGCCTCATGCTGCTTCTCTATTTTCAAGCTATGTGAAGACTTCTGTAAGCAATGCCCTGATCAAACAAAGCAGGGCATCAAATTTCCAGGGATGATGCCTTCAAAAACTGTATAGAACACTCCAAAAAGTGAAACAGTGATATTTCATTTTTGGCATGTTAAGAAGATCCTAGTTAGCTGCAGATTGAAATTTGAAAGGGTACTTTTAATATTAAAGCGCAAAATGGCTTATGTAACATATTTTACCTTTGTTGGTTAAAAAAAAAAAAAAGAAAAAAATTTTCCTCTAAATAAATAAATAATAAAGTGGAATGTGCATCACAATGCCCTGGTCAGATGAGCATGTAAACACTATAGGCCAAGCAGCAATACACAATGTTTTGTCCAAAAAAAAAAGTTATGCTGTTTTAGAATATATACTTTAGACATTGCAGGCACACAAAGTAATTTATCCTTTTAAGGAAACAGATTATTTCATTATTGAGAAGCAATAACATGAATAAAAGATGATTTTTTACAATGAAAAACTGAAATTGGTTGCAAACTAAGAGAGCTGAGCTCTTATATTCATAATTTGCTGTTTTCTGGTTTGTGTGTTATTCTCACAAGTGATCAGAGTTTTTATATTTATATTCCAGTAGGGCTACTTTTAAGCGCTGCAATATGTTAGATCGAAACACAACATATAAGATCTCTCATATGTAAATTTTAAAAGTCATTTTTACTCCTTTTAAATCTACAGCTTTGATTAAAATAGTACCCGGTGCTCTTGCTATGAAGGTTCTTGTTCAAGCATGACCATCTGATTAAAACTCTTATACAAATCAACGCACACTATAAACTTTCCACTCCAGGCTAGTATCAGAACACTTTTATTCAAGATATTAATAATCTGGACCGTCTAAGCAGATTCAGATGGGGAGCTCAACATAATGATACAGCTGTCAGTTGAAGACCTGGTGACAGCACTTGACACTCAGAGATGAGGCCGAACAATTATTAACAGCCATAGTCTACTTTAAAAACAAATCCAGGCTAGAAACTGGGCAGCTTTCAAAACTCTGCAGATAAAGTGCTTATTAGTCTACAGTGCACAATGGTGCACTTTTTGAAATATAAATAAGTAAAACAGTATTTTTTCAGGAAAGGTATGCTGAATAAAGTCATGTTTAGAACAGCCAGAGTCTTATCTGTATGCATGGTAGATTCAGCACAGTACCTGGAGCACAGGGCTTATTCACGTGTGAATGTAAATTGAGGCCATTCTGTAACTCTGTTGTAGTAAAGGGCAGAAAATGCCTGCGTTTTCAGCCGATGCTAGATTTTAAGAATGCCCCCCCTAATGACACAATGTAGGTTTTTCCAGTGGGGAGTATTCTGTAAAATTGTCATTGTGACAAGTATCTGTAGTCCTTCTGTATCCCAGTCCTCTCCAAATCTGCTGATTCAGAACCAGCACTAGCACCTTGGTTTAGCACCAGACATGCAGAGGTTTCATCCAATGCAGCACCCTGCTTCTCACGTTCTTTCATCAGTTGTTCTGTCAGTTCCACGCTTTCATATCTGACTAGCTGCAAGCGCAAAAACCCATCATCATGCTCCTTATACCTGTGAAAAGAAAAAAAAAAAATTAAATATATATATAAACAAACCTTACACTACAGCTAGCAAAAGTTAAAAAAAACAGCTCAAGGCAAAATGATAAAGCATGCACATTTCTTATATTTATCTCTCCAGATCCCCTGCAAGTACAAAAAATACCCAGTAATCTGCCAGAAACATATTCAGCTATTAGAGGTATCAAACCAAAGTATGTAAAATATTGCATCTTATCAATCCTTAGATGTGGTGGCTGCATTAGTTCTCTTTTTTTTTCCCCCCCCTATGTTGCACGTGGTGAACTGGCCAGTAACACACCTCCCAAGGGTCTCAACTGGCTAAAGTGCTTTGGTTATATTTTTAGTGGGACAGCAAAAAAAAAAAAAAAAGGCAGATCTATTCTAAAAAATACCTTTTAATTGTGTAAAATGAGTTAACATTTCATTTGAGATGAGCTAATATGGGACGTATGAATGAATCTGGTGAGAGCACAATTCAGTGCAGGGGTGCTCGCATCCTCAAACCAAGGAAGTGCATGCCTGGGGTCGGCAACCCATTGATCACAATCCGGGCTTGCTAACCCACCATCCCAGAGCATCAGAGCGCATTGAGCCGTCACCAGCAGCAGAGAAAGCAGGCGGCCGCATAAGCCGATGCTTTCTCTGTAGGGATGGCTCCTGTCTCAAGCAAAGGGATACCCCGTGCACTTCACCTGGGACCTTTTTAACAGTCTGGAGACGTATAGTGATGCCAGCAGAAAAGAAGGTCAGCGTAATCAACACATCCACTGCACATTGCAATGGGCATATTAGCACCTATAAAAGGGTTAACTATTAGGCTGCTTTCACACTGATCTGTGGGTGCAGTACAGCTACAGCTTTCTAGAACAGTGTTTCTCAACCTTTTTTTAGTCTGGGCACTCTTGAAACGTATTTTCAATCACAAAGCACTCCTGTCCAAGGCTTGGTTCATGTTACTATTTGTAGCGTAACGCACACAAAAATCACGCTCATTCCTGACACAGACAAATGCTCTGCTCTTTAAGGGGTACCCCCATACATTGGCAAATGCAGGGTGTTTTTGGTGTGGTGGAGAGAGAGAGAGGAGAAAAAAAAAAAAGAGGGGGGGGGGGGGGTAAGGGATGACTTTTCCTGCATTTCTGTGGGTAGGGCAGCCCATTGGGCCACACAGATGTTTAACCAATGAACCAAGGGCTTTTTCACCTGTGAGGTTGGATGGCGTTAAAAACCAAGCTACTGAGCTGCTTTTACCACCACCCCCAACTGCTCCCCCTCCAGGTGAATGGGGTTGAACTACAACCACCCCGAAACTGTGTGCGCATTGCACTCGGTTGTGGTGATGCTGCTTTTTACAGGTTCAAAACAGGTGGCGAGGAGGCAACATATTGCCTGTTTACCGCCTGTCAAAATGTCTCTGAAAAGCAATCTGAGCATGGATTGCTTTGCAGAAGAGAAGCAGTCCTTGCTGCTATTATGAACAAGTCCTAAAAAAAACAGTTCTGAAAGGACAGGAATAAGGGGTCAAGATTAAACGTAACACACTACGCCTGCCTTTACACACACATGAACTTTAATGGCATCTCATTCTCAGGCCCTAGGGTTCAATATTGAGTTGGCCCACCCTTTGTAGCTATAACAGCTTCCACTCTTCTGGGAAGGTTGTCCACAAGGTTTAGGAGTGTGTTTATGGGAATGTTTGACCGTTCTTCCAGAAGTGCACTTATGAGGTCAGGCACTGATGTCAGAGGCCGCAGTCTCCACTCTAATATTCATACCAAAGGTGTTCTATCAGGTTGAGGTCATGACTCTGTGCAGGCCAGTCAGGTTCCTTCACCCCAGACTTGCTCAACCATGTCTTTATGGACCTTGCTTTGTGCAGTCATGTTGGGACAGGAAGGGGCCATCCCCAAACTTCCCACAAAGTTGGGAGCATGAAATTGTCCAAAGTAGCTTGGTATGCTGACGCCTTGAGGGCTCGTTCACACTAGGCTGTTTTGCCAACGCTTGCCAAACGCCCCTATAGCGTTTGGCAAGCGTTGGTCCGGCGTTTGCGGAGCGTTTTTTAACGTTCCGCAAACGCCGCATGCGCGGTTTAGCGGCGGGTTGCTAGGCGTTTGCCGAGCGTTAATAACGCCCCACAAACGCCTATAATGCAGTTTGAGTGGTGTTACCGATCCGCAAACGCCCCGCAACCGCGTCGCAACCGCACCGCAAACGCCGGCCGGGCGTTTGCGGAGCGGCACCATAGACGAGAATAGGAGGCTTCAAAGCCTCCTGACTCGTCCAGAGGCGTCCGTTTTGCGACGCGACGCAAACGCTCCCGTTAGAACAGCACCATGTGCTGTAATGTGCAGAATTGGCAGAGGCGTTTGGGAAGCGGTAAAAACGCTTCCCAAACGCCTCTCTGCCGCCTGCACACAAGGCTAGTGTGAACTGTAGCCTAACAATGGTAAACAGGACAAATAGTGGGTGAATCTCCCTAATGGGGGCACAGACAGCAATAAATACAACCTAATAGGTGTTCTAATCCATCACCACTCTGTCCAAAACAAGTTTCACCTTTAGTTATATTTTAGCCACATGCCCTCCAGAGGATTTACCCCCCTTCCTGACCAGGCCATTTTTTTTGCATTACGGCGCTACATTACTTTGACAATTGCGCGGTCATGCAATGCTGTACCCAAATGAAATTTATGTACTTTTTTTCCCCCACAAATTGAGCTTATTTCAGTGGTATTTGATTGGCTGTACGTCTTTAATTTTTTTGCGCTATAAGAAAAAAAAGTGACAATTTTAAGAAAAAAACAACTATATTTTGGACTTTTTGCTATTAAACGTCCAGTAAAATTTAAAAAAAAAAAAAAAAAAAAAAAAATCTAATTTTGTCAAATTTAGGCCAAAATGTAATCTTCTACATGTCTTTGCTAAAAAAAAAAAAAAAAAAAAAAAAAAAAATCCCAGTACGTGTAAATTAATTGGTTTACGGGAAAGTTATAGCGTGGCGGTATAGATACTTGGATTTTTTTTTCCTTTCCTAGTAATGGTGGCGATTG